ATGAAGTATCATTTAAAAAACAACAAAACAACATTCATAGGCAATGCACGATGAATCTAGCGATTAGTTCATTGCTTGGCCTAGGGTAATTCACGGATGTAAATGTAGAATCCGCCAAATTGTTCTCGTAGTACGATTTGTGTGAACAAAGGGTGGAGTTTTCACAAGTAATGGAATTAGGTTCATAAGTGCAATTGTACGGGTGGGAGTCGCGAAGTTTTCGTTTCCATTTGAATGCAGAAGTTTTATCAGCCGTTAGGATATTTGATACTCAATTGAATCTTGTAAAGGACTTCAACATAAAAAATGAAATGAATGACAAAAGGACGTCTTACTTTGCTTTTGGAACGTTGTTGAATTATAAGATGTTCATTCCTGACCTTTTGGAAAAAAAAACAACAATTTTAATTCCATATATGAACTCATCTTTTAATACCTTCCTTTGCTATTCCTAAGGAGCATTTCTGATTTGATAGAGCTGTACATAGGCAAAAGTTTTCCTTTCATGCGAATGCTGTCATGGAATTTTCTGGGCAATGACCTAAACTACTCATGGAAGAATTTGATGTCATATGAGAGAAATAATGTCTTTTTCTATTAGACCGTTAGGAGAACTCATAAATTACTCGGGAACAGCTTAAAAGGCACGTCAATTAACATATTTTTGCGTCCCTCTACGCGGTGACGGACGCGATTGCACATTTTCCAACTAAACCACTTTCTTAATACCGTAGAATTTACACAAAATTGCATTATGCAGAAGTAGAGGGGTCCGTCTCAGTTTCCAGTTCATGAATTATACAAGAAGTGGGAATATATTGAGTACGAATCAGCATTTCGACCAAAAAATCCGTTTTTCCTATTAAACTAAATTTCAATAGAACCAATAAGGAACTATTCGGCATTAACCCTTACTAAGATTCATAAGGCAAACAAGAATAGCAAATGAAAAACCATCTCTGTCATCTTTAAGTGCAAAATAAGGCTTAGTTTTAAAGACAAACTGACAAATGACTAGAACGCAAAAATTTTATTGCTGACATTCATAATCACAAAACTAGACGAATGAGCTAAAAAATACAAAGCAGCCAGCTAATTCGAATACTGTCTATGCATGAAACTTTACTTGTTCGTGAAGAAGTATGAGAGTAAAACCAGATTACTCAATGAGATCCCATAAGACTCGACCAGATTTCGCGTCACATCAAATGTTAAAGCTTCATCTGCAAAGTAATCAACGGCTCTGAAACACCAATCGTTTGTCATAGCAAGTTTTCCCAAAGAACTTACGACTATTGATTGATTTTCTCGAAAACATTGTGCACAACGTACGACAACAACCATAAGCCAACTGTGTATAAGCACAGTTATACCGTAAACCATCGTTGCAATTAATGCAACAAATGTTATAACTGCAAAAAAATAAAATTCTATAGAAATCTTAAAAATAGGAGTGGTTACCTCTTCGTGTGGTGGTGTCGAAATATTCCGAAACGGATTTCACTTTACCAGCAAGGAGAATTTCGATTTGTTCTCCAGCATATGATGTGGGATCAAAGACAGCTGACGCATAAAAGGCAGTAAGCAGCACGCAGAAGCTTACCGTCACAATCTATGATTGAAAGTAGATTGGCGATGAAAAAACCACAAATAAATAGTGGTAAATAAAGTATGAACAAAGTCATAATTGCTA